CAGACGGCCCAAGAGACTCTGGAAACCTTAAAAATAAAACCTAAGATTGAGAGAAAAGCAAAGGATCGACCAAATAGGACCTGCTCACGCGAGGAATTATACTCCTACGTGGAGAATAAAAACCGCCGCCGGAAATCTGGAACTACCACCTCGACAGAAGGAATGTGCATCGCCTCCATCGACAGAAGGAATTTTTACCTCTGTTCATTCGTTTTTCTGTGAGGGTAGGAGTTGGTTGTTACTGGTATGTATATTCAAATAATGAGAAAATTGCAAATTTAGTCACATACATTTGATTGTTTCCAACATTTGGTCCAAGCATGCCATCTATGATCATTTTTAATTTTTCATTGGAAAAATGGTCTCACGTCCGTTAAGACTAACAGTCTCGCTCATGCATTGTTAGTCAACGTTCACAGCTAGAAAGGAAGATATCAACTTTAGGACTAAATTTGCATTTTTCAAATGAGTGGGACCACATTTGCAATTTTCTAAAAAAAAAAAGGAAAGAAAAACGAGTTCTTCAAGTTTGTCTAGAAGAGAAGCCATATTATTTTGATGTTTAATTCCAAAGTGAAAAATTGACTTTTTGTTTAAATAGTTTGACTTACTTTAAAATATTTTTTTGAATGAAAATTAAAATTATAATTTTTATCTTATTGTGCACTTTAATTTTCAAAATTGTATGCCAAGATATTGTCCATTTTTTGGAACATTTGATTTGTCCTATTTTCCTGAAACATATACGTATCAATAAATTTATTTAAAAATATAAATATGCTAAAAAGAGTAAGTTAGAAAATATATCTAATATTTTTATTAGCAATATTTTTTTAAAAAGTTCTTAGTAAATGTTAAAAAGTATATTACCATTCTTTCCTAGCAATACATTTTGTTTGATTTTTAATAAATTATAAAAGATAAATATAACTAATATATATTTTTTTCACAAGTTTTAATTTTTTTGCAACTTAAAATATTAAGTGATAAAAATTATTTAAATTTATTTTTATTTGGAACATTTTTTCACAAAGTTATTAGAAAATGTTAAAAAGGTATATTACTATTCTTTCCTAACAATACATTTAGTTTATTTTTAATAAATTATAAAAGATAAATATAACTAATGTACAATTTTTTCATTTTTTTTATTGTAAATTACAGTTTAACTTGATTTTTTTACATAAAATGATTATTTAATTGAGTAATTTTAAAAAAAAAGGTCTATAAAATAATTTTATTAATTAGTTCATGATAGATGAGATGCAAAAAAATATATAATATATTTTACTATAAATAAGTGTAGCAAAAGTCTATTTTCACTTAATTTAATGTAAAATTTTGTTTTATTATGCTTAAAATTGACGTTTTTTATGTAGATGTAATTCTCATAATTAAACAGATTTTTTTAATTTATCGTTGTTAAAATCAAATTAATAAATAAAAAATTACTAAAATATTATTTCTAAGAAAATAGACAATAATAATAAAAAAATATTTTTGTTTTGTTTTTTTTTTTTTTTTTTTTTTTTCAAAACGATAGATGTATTATATAAAATGTGCAAACGTACATCCACAAGTTGAATACAAACAGTTAAACAGCAGAATACAGACAGCCAACAACTAAATAAAACTGGGAGGACAGTCCAAAAGACCGCCTAGAACCGACCCCAACGGGGTAATCTTCTAGAAACACAAAGAAAACATAACGACACTAAAAGATCCCAAAGGGAGAATGAAAAGAAAAAGAAGACGACCCCAACAGGGTAATGACTGAGTGTACGATCCCAACAGGATAATAAAGTTACAATCGGGCTAACTGAGGCCAACGGCCCAAACCTAAAACACAATTATTAACACAAACACAACCACAGACAAACACAAAACAAACAACAAGAAAACTAAAGCAACAAAACAGCCCTTCCCTGCAAACAAACTGGCCCAACCAGCAGTGAAGAACCGACAGAAGAAGGAGTCCCAGGCCAAGAACCCACTACCGAAACTGCGCAAACTCCTATACAGTAGGTGAAACCGAACCTGAACGCTTCCCCGAATGGACCCACCTCCAACCGAGAGAACTACGACACCAGCTCCCGGCACCATCACAGCTCAAACTCGTCTGACACCACTAATCGAGCTCCAGTGCTCCGGACTCCATCCCAAACCCAACACCAGAGAAATCGGGAATTAGGAGCTTCCCGGTCCCACAACTCCAACGTCAAAGCCGCTGGAGTCTCGTCCCATCCTCCGACCCTCACGCCTCCCAACACCAGCGTAGGCCTCTGACAATTCGAGCCCAAGCCCCAAAAACCAAAACTGGAAGCCCATCCCGAAACGGCAACCCGACCAAGAGACCTCCAAGATCCGACCCATTGAAATCAAGGGGTAAACCAACCAATCGAAGACCACCAGCGTCCAAAGAGGAACCACCAGCCTCAAATCGCAGCTCCCCACCGCAGTAGCACCTTGCCGACAACCTAGGGCAGAGCTCTCCTCACGAACCACTGCGGCAAAATTGGGGAGACGTGACGCCAAGGACGGGCCGAGCGGTCAAGGGTGACCACTGGCCCAAACCACTACGTCGCAGAGGAAGGCAATCAGATGCTAATTGAGGGAGCTGATAGGTTCACTACAAGAAATATGAGTTTTACCAACGGAATAATCCGTTGGTAATCAAGTTTCCCAACAGAATTCCAACGGATTACCAACAAATTTTTTTGTTGCTATATGCCTTGTTGCTAAACACTTACCAACGGAAAATACAATCTGTTGGTAAATTCTCAACAGCTTACCAACGGATTTGCAACGGAAAAGCTCCATGACATTGTCAACAGATTCTCAACAGATAACGTAGTTGCAAAATAATTCCGTTGGCAAATTACTAACAGAAAGCTAACAATTTATTTACAGATTTTCTAACGGATTACCAACGGATATTTTTCTAACGGATCACCAACGGATATTTTCCCAACACATTACCAACGGATTATCAACGACTAGTTACCAACAGAATACCAACGAAATTTTAGTAACGGATTACCAACAGATCACTAAAATTTTTTTCCCAACATATTACTAACATATTTTTGCCAAGGGATTACCCACAAATTTCTTCTCAACGGATTACCAATGGGTGTTTTCCTAACAGATTACCAACCAATATTTTATCAACAGATTACCAACGGATTACCAACAATTCTTTTACCATTATCAACATATATTTTAGCAACAGATTACCAACGGATTTTTTTTTCCTACAGATTACCAATAGATTTTCCCCAACATAGTAACAATTGATATTTGACAAACAAATTATCAACAAAAAATTCTCCAAACAAAATTTCAGCGAATCAACATATTTCCAACACATATTTTTCCAAAGTTATTACCTAACGAAATGAATACGAACAAATTTTCCCAACGAAACAACACAACATAAAATATCATTCATCCAACTCGATTAATCCAGAAAATTAAAATCCACACATAATTCAGTTAATCTAACTAAAAACAAACTTCAAATAAAATATATTCCATCCAGTTCAAAATAAATGTCATCTAACCACGAATACTACAACACGACTCTACGAGCATCCAGAAGGTGTGCTCTCTGATGTGTTTATGCGGGCCATCATCATCTCAAACCGTTTATCCATGTCATCATTGTTGCACTTCACCCTTATACTTATCTAAGATTTGTTGCACCTCAGCCCGACCCTCAGCTCTTCCCTCCTCACGAATGCGCGCTATATCAACTTCTGAAATCCGAGATAACTTTCCTGCTAATATCTTTGAAACAAATATAAGATAAGCAACAAGTTCTTGATTGTAAATATAAGTTTACAAACGATATATTCACATGAAACTTGAGAATTAAAGAAAAAAAGAAGATACCTGTGAGGCGCCAAAACTCTCAACCCCATATAACCGCTGCTTTTTACTAACTCCACCAACAGCTGTACAATAATGATCATTTATCTTCATATCTCGTTGTACTTGATCTAAATCAGAATCATTGGTTAAGGATGATCATTGGCAATAGAAGACTCCACTTCCATCTACCATTAGAACATGTAGCAAAAAAAAAAAATATATATATATTATTCATCAACTATACAATAATTTATATTTACACGGCATTGATGAAATCAAGTTACTTACAACAATTTTCTCAGAACGGACATCTCTCCATTTGTTGAGTCGGAGTCCTTCCTAACTTTTCAGTCTGAAAATTATAACAATATCAAATTTTTGATTTAAAATGAATAAACATATTTGTCCAACTATGAAAGAACATTTTTAAAGAAGAAAAAATATAATAATAACTTTACCATCTCTTTTGCATATGCATACGCAGACCCCCCAGTGTGCACAGATATCCACGATCCTGGACCATTCACCTCGCTTTTACGGTTAGTAGACATCTTCTGACCCCTTAATTGAAACTCAGATGTTTTCCACTCCTTCCAAAATGAATCCCAAACAGTCTTGGCCACAAAGTCGGGTTTCTCACGCATTAACCTCAATCTCCACAAAAACCCAGAATACTTTAACCCGGCATGTCGCGACCAAACATCATGAACCCTTTGCTCCATTTCGGATGGAAATGTGAATGATATCTATAATTTTAAAAAAAATGTATTGATTCAAATAAAAACAAGAATTGTATAACTTCTAAATACTATTTGTGCATTGAAAAAAGACAAACAATAATTTCATAATCAATAAATTTGTACAGAACAATAAGTTAATTAAATTTTAACCTTAAAAGAAGCCCATTACCAATCCTTTACTTCACTATCCACTTTAGACCATGTGTAACCCTGTGGACAAAGCTTTTCCTTGAAAAGATCCCTCATGCATTTTGCCACTTTATTCCCTGGATACAATCTGTCATACATTTTGCTTAATTAAATTAATTTTTTTGGCTAGAACTACAATGGAACAATGTTATAAAAACTATAATCATATAATACTTAAAGTCTCTGTTTTCATTACCTTTCATCAGATTCAATTTCAATTGGTATACGGCACATAAGACTAGAACAGACAGATGATGATGCAGATAGCATGCTCCCTAATTGAGATGGTGAAGTGACAGGAGATGGTAGCACATCATGCAATGGATCATCTATATACAAAGCAATTTACAACAAACTCTTCACATTAAACAGAATTTATTGAATATGCATGTTTAATAAAACTACACGTCCAGTTTACCTGATGATGCATCTAATGTCAATGGTGTCGCACCATGGAAAGGATCAGGTGGAGTAAATGATGGTGGATGCAGTATTATGTTAGGCGTGTGTGGCCTATTGCCTATAAAACATTAATCATATCGAAATACATGAACAAAAATTCATCGATTTAAACAATGTATAAATGTAGACATTTTAAAAAAAAAAATCTAAATATCTTTATTTACTAAAAAGCAAACTTTTTTCCCAATTTATAATGTAGTATACTTGATGGAGGTGATGACAAACGATTTGGCATGCTCGACCTAGATGTATGTCCTATAAAACATTTACCATATTAATTAAACTTTATCTTACAAAATAATTAAAAAAATGAATTTGATCTATAAATTTAATTGACAAATATGGTATCAATTACCTCCTCGTCGTACAGGGCCACCTCTCTGCCCATGAGGTGATGGAGTCTGATCGTGCTCTTCATCAGAATCATCGTCTTGAGACATTGCCCGAAGTGCTGCTGCAAGAGTCTTATGACCTCCACCCCTTGTTGTGGTTCTCATGCTATAGATAACTACAAATGAAATGAATGTTTTTTTTCCCATATTTCTAATAATACTTTACACAAACAAGTGAAACAACTAAAACCAAAAAATTCCATGAATATTTATGATTATGTACTTAATTTTAAATTATAATTTCATCAGACTAATTAGTTCCATAGAGTTTTTGTTTAAAATAAATCTAAAAATATAATTGTGATGCAAAAGTTAAAAGAATTTCAAGAAACAACTTACTGTACTAATCACTTCTAGAATCATATAAATCTTCATTTAGATTCGATACAAAGTCGTCTTCCATTTCAGATTCAACTATAAGTTCTTCTTCTTCTTCTTCGACAACCTCATCGTCTATCTCTATAAAAACACCGTCTGAATATGATGGATACTTCTCTCATCTTCTTGATAGGGTGTCGTGACTTGCATTTCAACATTATTATCAATTGACAATGGAACTTCCACAAAAGCCCTTGCCTTAACATTGCACACAGCCCACCACTCCCGTTTATCACGACTTGCACCTGGATATTCACAAAACAACACTTGTTTTGCTTGCATCCCCAACATAAAAGGCTCATACCTATGAAGTCGGCGTTTATGATTGATATCCACCAGCTTGTAGTCTTTATGAATATTCATTCCCCGAGCAGTGGGGTCGAACCATTCACATTTGAATAAAACTGTTGTGTTGGTGTGGAACCCATTATATCCAACCTCAACCACATCGACCAATCGTCGATAAAAATCATTCTCAACGATGAAATTTGATCCTTTAATACACACCCCACTATTCATAGTGCTTTTGGAAGTTCCACAACCAAGAGTGTGAAATTTAAAACCATTGACCATGTAACCAGAATATGACTTTATCTTTCTCAATGGGCCTTTAGCAAGGTCTTGAATATATTCATTAGTAATTCCATTTAAAGGATCATGTACCTACATATTTTTTTTTTCAAAAAAAAAAAAGCACTTTCATATTATACAGTGTCATATTGTATACTACATATATTTAGACGTGAAGATAAGATAATACTCACATATTTCTCGAACCAATCAGGAAATTCGTTTTCAAGTTTTGTATCAATTTCTTCTCTCGAGATGCTTCTTCGTTGACTCCTAAATGAATCCACAAATATACTTCACGTGTAAAATTTTAGAGAGGATTTAGCCATATGAAATTTATAATGTGTTTAATAGTACTAACTAAATGAAAAAACTATAGTGGAAAGATTACAAACCTAATATATGGTTCAACCTCAACGCAATTGAGTAAGATGTAACTACGGGCAGCATTATATTCATCTTCTGTCAAGTATCTTGCTTTTGCCCTTCCGAGAAATCGCCCTTGAAACTTGAACACAGAAAGACTTCCTTCGAGGTCTTTCTTCTGAGAACAACCAACATCATTATGTGGTGGTTTCCTATGTCGCGTGCTCACGTATTCTTCAAAATAATACTGACAAAACGATGATGCCTCATCAACTAAATATGCATTGCATATCGAACCTTCAACTCGGGCTTTATTTGTCACGTTCCCTTTCAACTTCCGAAGGTACCTAACTTAAATTATTAGTCACGATGATGCCTCATCAACTAAGGAGATATTTCAATTATAAAAACTTATTAATTCATGTAAGTTAAATCACCTCTCAAATGGATACATCCAACGATATTGGACAGGACCAGCAATGATTACTTCATAAGCCAAATGCACAGGAAGATGCTCCATTGAGTCGAAGAAGCTCGGCGGGAATATCCTCTCAAGTTTACATAATATAATAGGAATTTCAGCATGTAATCTCTCCATATCTTCCTTGCGTGTAACAGTGGAAGTGAGCTCTCTAAAGAAAAGGCTTAACTCGGTAAGTGCTTTCCACACATTTGAAGGAAGTAATTCTTTAAATGCAATAGGCATCAATCTTTGCATAAACACATGGCAATCATGGCTCTTCATACCAAAAAATCTGTGTTTCTTTATGTCTACACATCTAGACAAGTTAGAGGCATATCTATCAGGAAATTTAACCTCTTTTGCCCATTTGCACATTTCTTCTTTGCCCTTCGCATCCAACGTGTACCAAGCTTTAGGATACTTACACGTTTCCTCATTTCTCGCCAACTCTGGACGTCGACAATAGTCATTTAACTCTTGGCGAGATTTCAATGTGTAGCACCCCATTTGTTCCGGAATAATTGATATTATTTATTTGACATTTATTTTATTTTCCAAATGAATTATTCGGGCTCGATAATTTTATTTCGATTAAATTCTCTTAATTGCTAAATTGTATTAATTTTAATGTCGAGCCGAATAGTATTATTTTATTTTATTTTCGGTCGAACCAAAAATATTAAATAACCTTCGAATCGATCGAGCAACCTATCCGAACATGCGAACCGGGCCGCTGAACCCAACCGCATTTTCCCTCCATCCGGCCCGTACCCGCATGCCCTCGACCCGCTGGTTCACGCCGCAACCCCAACCGCCCGTCACCTTCTCCCCTCATCTTGCATGCATGAGTTTTGATTTTTGAATTTGAATTAAAAAGTGAATTATTATCCCTTAAATTCAGCCCCTATCCCTTTCATTTAGCCTTGATCAAATTCATGAGATTTTGTCACTTACCATCTTGATTAATAAGTAACCCCCTCACTCCCATTTCTCTTCTTCACGTCACCCACCTCTCTCTCTCAAACTCTCCTTTTCTTTTGCTCCAGCCATATAGCTCTCTCTCTCCCTCTTCTCTCTTGGTCTCCGGGAGAACCAGCCTCCGCCATCTCTGGTCGTCACCCCCGCCGAGCGAGCCAAGCGGACGATCTTCCCCGCCCATTAGGATTTGGTCGTCGTCGAGCCCTTCCGAAACCGAATCCGTCTTCTCTCCCCTTTGGTGTTTGGTAAATTTATTTTACTAAAATTCAAACCCTTTGTAATAATATGTTATATTTGCTGGAATTATATTTTAACATGTTTAAATGAGATTATTTGGATTAAGTGTTATTCAAACTACCATTTCATGTGAAAATACACTTTTTCGCTGTTCTGTTGTGCTGCGGTTTGAGCCATCTTAGACTGAGTATTTGAATTCGTGATCTTCATGAGAATTGTAGTGTTTTCAGTTTTCTATATCTGGGCTTTGAATTCGTGATCTTCATGACTTTTGCAATATAGATCGAAATCGATAAATTCCAAAGTCCAGATATAGAAAACTGAAAACACTACAATTCTTATGAAGATCACGAATTCAAATACTCAGTCTAAGATGGCTCAAACCGCAGCACAACAGAACAGCGAAAAAGTGTATTTTCACATGAAATGGTAGTTTGAATAACACTTAATCCAAATAATCTCATTTAAACATGTTAAAATATAATTCCAGCAAATATAACATATTATTACAAAGGGTTTGATGTTTATTAAAATAAATTTACCAAACACCAAAGGGGAGAGAAGACGGATTCGGTTTCGGAAGGGCTCGACGACGACCAAATCCTAATGGGCGGGGAAGATCGTCCGCTTGGCTCGCTCGGCGGGGGTGACGACCAGAGATGGCGGAGGCTGGTTCTCTCGGAGACCAAGAGAGAAGAGGGAGAGAGAGAGCTATATGGCTGGAGCAAAAGAAAAGGAGAGTTTAAGAGAGAGAGGTGGGTGACGTGAAGAAGAGAAATGGGAGTGAGGGGGTTACTTATTAATCAAGATGGTAAGTTACATACTGTAACGCCCCGTTTTATTTTAAAGAATTTACCGAATTTATTTATAAAAGTCAGAGTTTATTATTTTTTTTTTTTCAAAATTCCAATTTAAAACTTTAACATTCAGCGGGCGCTACTTGAACACTAAAGCAATTAAACATTTACACAGATAAAATCTAACAGTTCAAAATAACATCCCAATTATTCATAATCCTCAAATCCAGTCATGCATAATTAAATACTTCAACGGAAATCCCATGGTCAAATCGACATGTTCAAAATAATCAAAGCGGAAGCATAATTATTCAAAGATAAACAATGGTCTATCGAGATAATAAAAACAGAAGCAAGTAATACACAATCCAACGACCACCACTCGATCGTCTCTCTCTACCGCCGCCAACCAATGCTCAACCTAAAAAGATAGGAAGAGGAACAAGAGGACAGAAAAGTAAATGAGGGTTTAAATGAGATTATTTGGATTAATTCAAACTACCATTTCATCTGAAAATACACTTTTTCGCTGTTCTGTTGTGCTGCGGTTTGAGCCATCTTAGACTGAGTATTTTAATTCGTGATCTTCAGGAGAATTGTAGTGTTTTCAGTTTTCTATATCTGGGCTTTGGAATTTCTCGATTCCGATCTATATCGGAAAAGTTATGACTTTTGCAAAATTCGTTGTACTACCAGTTTTTCTGGACCCGGCAGCAAAATTGGATTTAATGTTTGGTCTGTTTTACATGTAAAACTGTGCTCGTATGAACTTACACTCTTCATGAAAGTTATAGATCGATCTTGTACCGTTCAAATGAGATAAAGTTTATGTTGATATGTGCTCTGTGGCTCGAGTTATGATTTTATGAAGTTAGATAAGCATGAGTTAGGAATTATCATGTTGGCAGAAATATGGAACCGAATGTTAACCGATTTTTGACCATTCAAATAAGCTCATATGTTTCTGTGTTCTAAATAAAAGTTGTAATGCATTCCTAAGATTTAATTTGAGACTTGAACCATATCATTTAGAGGTCTGTAGCTCAAGATAAAGGTTAAAAACTGAGATACTGTCCATGTTCATTATACTAGTTTTGACAGATTTACCGAATCATATGTTTTGCATTTTAACTTATTGAATATGTGATTATTTGCCAATGTGATTTTCAGAAAAGTTGTATATATTTGAGTTGCCTATTATGTGGTTTTTGAATTTCATTAATGCATTCCTGTAGCTCAAGTTAGATGGCAAATACTGAAATCGGGTCAAGTATTTTTTTTCCAGTTTTGGACTGTGACTCAAATTTTAATGTTTGTTGATTTATCATCTGATATATGATCTTATTTGCTTTCAGTGTCTTCATAAGAATTGTAGATTCATCTCTTAGGATTCCAATGCAATTTGATTTGCATTATTACGAGTTGTGTGCTGAAAGTTATATCGATTTTAAAAACGCTGCCCGGGTTAACTTTTCAAAATTTATGTGTTATTTTCTGAAATGTGTCGTACTTGGTTTAATGCATGATTGAATGCTTACGTGGACTTAGTTGAACTAATTAAATTGTCGAATAGTCTTTGATAAGACTATTTTAATAAATGTAGCTGTTTGACGAGTCGACCTTGCCGACTACTATTATTGTGTATTTGACTCGATCGCTACCAGGTGGGTTCATTTATGTTCAATCTACATTTATCGCACTTGTTATTTCGTATAAATGTTTGTCGCGATAGTTTTTGTATGCGTGAGAACCCTAGTCTAAGCGTCCTGACGGTAATTCCTTTGACGAATGCATAATCAGTGGAAGTCACCTGCCCGTTGCATCCGGGAGGTGGGCGCCCGAATCCGTGTAGAGCGGAGGGGATTGTCTGAACGCCCGAATCCGTGTAGAGAGGAGGGGTAATTCAACTTCACTGTCTCCTGGTAAGATCCTACGCCCGTTGCATCCGGGGTGGGAGTGTTTCCAGTTACATCCTCGCCGATGTCTGGTCGGGAGGTTTGTTGTATGTACATAGGAGGTTTGCGATAGGGCCTAATAGGGAGTTAGATCTGGATTCTATGCATACATTATTTATGGTTATGGATCTTTATGCGAAATATACTGTGCGGTAATGGTGAGTATGATGGTTGTACTCACCCCCATTTACTTTTCTGTCCTCTTGTTCCTCTCCCTATCTTTTAGGTTGAGCACGGTTGGCGGCGGCAGCGAGAGACGATCGAGTGGTGGTCGTTGGATTATGTGTTGCTTGCTTCCGTTTTCTATTATTTTGATAAACCATTTGTCCAACATTGAATAACTATGTTTTCGTTTTATTTATTTCGAACATATTGGTTAGAGTATTGAATTCTGTTGAAGTATTTGTTTATGCATGACTAATTTTGAGGCTTATGGATAATTGGGGTTTAATTTTGAACATTTAGATTTTATCCAT